AAGTCGAAATATTGAGATAAATACATTTTTTTAAAAACTCAACAATTTAAATGAACATTTCAGATTTGCTGCATGCATTTTTATGGCTCCGCAACAAAGTTGTCGGGGCCACATAGTTTTACCCTTGTCCGTCATTCCGTCATTCTGTCATTCCGTCATTCCGTCATTTCGTCATTCCGCAACAAACCATTATACGGACTTTTTTTCAAAACGCCTTCAGATATTTGGCTGATTTTTGGTATGTGAGTTAACCATGATGAGTTACAGATCAAGTTTAAGTTTCATTCCGCTCCGCTAATTTTTGCGGAAATAACGGGCTTTGGACTTTGATAAACTGTTGAAAATCACAGTTATACGGACTTTATTTCTAAACGCCTTCAGATATTGGGCTGATTTTTGGTACGTGAGTTAACAATGATGAGTGACAGATCAAGTTATGTTTCGTTTTGCTCCGCTAATTTTTGCCGAAATTACGGGGTTTGGACTTTGATAAATTCTTGAAAATCAGTTATACGGAAATTTTTTTCTAAACGCCTTCATATATTGGGCTGATTTTTGGTATGTGAGTGAACAATGATGAGTGACAGATCAAGTTTAAGTTTCGTTCCGCTCCGCTAATTTTTGCGGAAATTACGGGCTTTGGACTTTGATAAATTGTTGAAAATCACAGTTATACGGACTTTTTTTCTAAACGCTTTCAGATATTGGGCTGATTTTTGGTATGTGAGTTAACCATGATGAGTTACAGATCAAGTTTAAGTTTCATTCCGCTCCGCTAATTTTTGCCGAAATTACGGGCTTTGGACTTTGATAAATTGTTGAAAATCACAGTTATACAGACTTTTTTTCTAAACGCCTTCAGATATTGGGCTGATTTTTGGTATGTAAGTTAACCATGATGAGTTACAGATCAAGTTTAAGTTTAGTTCTGCTCCGCTGATTTTTGCCGAAATTAAGGGTTTAAGACTTTGAAAATTGTTGAAAATCACAGTTTTACGGACTTTTTTTCTATACGCCTTCAGATTTTGCGCTAATTTTTGATATGTGAGACTACCATGATGAGTTACAGATCAAGTTATGTTTCGTTCCGCTATGCTGATTTTCATGTCGTTTCAACACATCTTGTTAGATCTGCAGTACATCCACTTCCTGTTTGCTGATAGTTTGAAATTTAATTACTCATTGATCAAGGAAATTTTTCATCAAACTAGTATTGGTCTTGAAAGCTTGATACTATCCATGCATGTTTGTGTCCACATGTGTTGTTGAAATTGCAGATTTTTCAACTTTTTGAGACGGGGCCATTCGTGTCGTTCCGACACATCTAGTTTTCTTTTCTTCTCACCTATGTATCAATTCCAGTGTATGTTGTGACGGTAGACAGAATAAAACCTGTATACTTGACGAGTTAATCAAAGAGTTTACTCTACGAAGGATAATTGTTGATTGATTAACTTCTAGTAACAAATATTTCATGAATATGCAGTGAGAGAACACAATTAATCCAATACGCATATGTTCTGCAATGTGGGTCGACCGAGATGAGCGGGGGATAAAGAATACCACTGTTAATGTTAGATAGGGACAGAATTGCACATATGGATCGCTCAAAGTCTTGTTGATATGGTTCGTTTTGTGCAGAGAGAGAGAGAGTGACACTCTCCCTCCACGAATCATCTGATTTAACGTCCCTATATCGAATTGACGGGTCTGCGTTTTTATACATCCTGCATAGCAAAACGGACACCTATATAGTATAGATTTATTACCGAATTGGTGAAAATTAGGTGACCATATTAACATACCTCACTCAACCCTTGATTATCTGTTTGCTGTAGATTTTGTGTATTCAATTGAATAAATACCTATAATAATATCTTCAACAGATTAGTTATTTGCCTTTTAAAAGTAAAACAACAAAAATACCGAACTCCAAGGAAAATTGAAAACGGAAAGTCCTTTATCAAATGGCAAAATCAAAATCTCATCAACATTAAACGATTGGAAAACAACTGTTATACTTCCTGACTAGGTACAGGCATTAACTTATGTAGAAAATGGTAGATTAAACTTGGTTTTATTGCTAGCTAAACCTCTCACTTTTAAGACAGTCGCATAGAATTTCATTATATTGACAATGTGTGAGCTAAACAAACATACATAATAGGTAACTCGGACTTCTTTTAAACTGAGTTTTACTGTGCGTATTACTATGCGTTTCTTTATTCTACATTGGCTAGAGGTATAGGGGAGGGTTGAGATCTCCCAAAACATGTTTAACCCCGCCGCATTTTTGCGCCTGTCCCAAGTCAGGAGCCTCTGGTCTTTGTTAGTCTTGTATGTTTTTTAATTTTAGTTCATTTATATGTTTTGGAGTTTAGTGTGACGTCCATTTTCACTAAACTAGTACACAATTTCATTAAGGGGCCAGCTGAGGACCACCTCCGGGTGCGGGATTTTCTCGCTGCGTTGAAGACCCATTGGTGGCCGTCGACTGTTGTCTGCTCTTTGGTCGGGTTGTTGTCTCTTTGACATATTCCCCATTTCCATTCTCAATTTCATAAAAGGTAAAAATGTCAAAGATTGGGGTACAGCAGTCAACATTGTATTATAATCTTAATCACTTAAAAAACAAATAACTATTTCAACAAAGGAAACAAAATGGCATATAGACACTCTATAGGCAAAGTACATAAGAAAAATTGAAAGACAAGAATACAAAAATTACCATAGGACAATAACACAATGGCGGGATATATAAATACCGATTCACGCCAAAAGTATATTCCCCAAAAAAGAACTAAACATTAAAGGTTAAAAATATACAAAGACAAAAAAAAAAAACCACTAAGATGATAAACAACGTCATTAGAAATAAGATGTGGTATGAGTGCCAATGAGACAACTCTCCATCCAAGTCACAATGTGTAAAAAGTCAACAATTATGGTCAAAGTTGGCCTTCAACACGGAGCCTTGGCTCACACCGAACAGCAAGCTATAAAGGGCCCCAAAATGACTAGTGTAAAACAATTCAAACAGGAAAACCAACGGTCTAATCTATATAAAAAACGAGAAACGAGAAACACTTATGAACCACACCAACAAATCATACCTAGAATCTATACTTCAAGACCAACGTGTATTAATTGTGAAGTTGATACGGAATATTTATCAACAAGGTATAGGTATCTTCCGATGCACTCTTTTAGAAAAAGGACGAGACGCTCCTTGACATAACCCTGGTTCATTAACTTTCTGCTCAGACACTGTTGACGTTTTATAAAGTTTGAGTAGTAGCTGCAAGCTCTGGAATACTGAATGAGTCGGGAAATGTATATCCCATATGCAGGTGAAGTTAGTATATTGCTGCTAAGGTGGGGGGATTTATAATTTCAAAATTATAATCGTCTCGTTTGTCATATATTCTGGTACGGAGATGACCGCTTATGTCAAATTTGAGGTATAAGTCTAAAATATGTCTATTGTTTCTTTAATTTCTAGTCCCGGATAATATATTAATACAAGCAAATCAGAAAAGTTTGAATTGTCTGAATGATCTGGCTTCTTTGATCTTCTTGTTTTTGATAAGTGTCTGCAGGCGGAAACCCAGTTGAAATAGAACAAAAGAATCGAAGCTCTTTGTTAGAGAAGGCGATAAATGCTTACTGTAATGTTTACTGTAGTAACTCAAATTTTAAAAGTTAATAGAAACAAATAAAATGACAGTTTTTGGCTAAATTACGGAATATTTTATCATAAAAACACAATTTGCATAAGTTTTCAATTTATCTATTACATAATTAAGCAGAACAATTAGTATCAGGTCGACGACATGGGTGTCTATTAAGTTGGATCTTAAAAATGCATAACCTCCGATTTTTCAAAAAAAATTACCACGGACAGAGAACATATCAATCTATTTGTTCCTTAATTTTCGTTTCTGCCCTTCCATTATGTGACTCAAGAAAAAATTCCAAAAAATGGGTAACAATTGCGTCGAAAAGAGAAAATCGAGCGCACCTTTTTATGTTAGGGCGTGTTTGAGTTGAATACTTTGTCTTGAAAACGTAAAAAGCAAAAGTATTTGATACATCATCTCGCTTCAGATTCTATCATTTTTATATATCAAGGCTACAGGTTGACTTTATAACATCAAAAATTCACAGTACTAAAAAAATGAAATATATAGGTCAAGTGAAATACCTTTCTAATGAATCACAAAAACAGAGTAGGTGTGTTCGAATAGCAAATTTTTACTAAAAGTACTTGACGACAGACTTTTAAGTTGGATCTTAAAAATGCGTATCTTCCAAAAAACTTCATTTTTTGTGTGTGATATCTAGGGTTTATAGTCTTCAACCACTGAAATTTTTTAGTCTGCCCTTCCACGAAATATTAAATTAAAATTTTTTTTAAATGTTTATGAATTTTCGAAAATTCCACCTGACAACCGATCAGACAATAGTTTTAAGTTGACTGAATGCAGACAAGTACATTAACTGATGCTCATTAGCTAGTAGATACATTTGTCTTTTAAAATACAACTGGCATATAAGGATCGTAATGGTGCTATGCGGATAAACTTATCGGTTTCCAAGAGCTAAATTGGCAGCGCGTCATCCCTACAATGGCTTCCATTTTTACGATTGTAAAAATGAACTGGCGTAATGGGGAGATAATTTTGACGAAGTAGAATCCTGACTGTCTGAAGGAACTCCGACTCATATGTTGTCAATAAGAAACTCCAGCATACTGATTACTTGTTCCTCTGTATAGCATGTTTTACCTTTTTGTTCACTATCCCAAATCAATAAATGTATAGCGTATGCTACCATTTTAATATCGATTGTGTCGTTTAGACGTGTTTTCAATTTCACACGGGAAATGGTGGTAAACAGGGTTGAGTTCTTCACATTGTTTAAGAATCCAGTCGGCAATGTACCGTTGTTTGTACAGAATTTTATGAAGCTTCGGTATCAATAACAAGCAAGGTAAGTATTCAGGTTTGCTGTTCAATGTAATGTTCATTGAAGCCATGAAGGACTTGTGATTCGCCAAAGTCTCATCCTTGTCAAATGATATGTTTTTGTATGTGGGATTACCTGAGTGCTCATTTATCCCTAATTCTTTTACACTCGTAGTAATCCGATTTACATACAAAAACAATATTATCATTACGTTATCTATAGCGGATTATTATTATTCTCTTTAAAATTCGAATGATCCCTCTTTTATTTTTCAAAATGCGTGTATATGGCCTTTGTATCGTTTTGTGAGACTTATTTTCGTATTTATTACCGTATGGCAATACCTGTATGATATTCAAAGGAATTTGATAATATGATTTTAAAATTAATTCAATCAATGGCAGTTATTTTATATAAACCGCTAAGCTTTATTTATTTATAATAACAATGATTTTCAAAATGTTTATGGTATTTCACGACGTATGAATTATTTAAAAAGGTTCATGTCGAACCGAAAACCTCTGCACGAGATACGTTCCAATGTTGCCCCCTTTCGAGGTATACGTGTTTTAACACAAAAAAAATCTTAAGAATGATTCTACCTCTTGCGTACCTTCCGAACACTTTTTTTCACTTGTTCTTCGTCTGACATCTTGAGAAAACCGTGACTGCAGTTAAGGACATCAATTTAACACCACTGCTTATTCGTTCATTTTTTTTTCTTTATAAATACTAAAAATTTGATATAATGCAGCTAAATTGCGTTTTTAGCCTTTTAAAATGATTGTATGGTATGATTGTCAATGAGACAATATCCATAGACCAAAAGACAAAGATGTGATCAATTACAGGTCACCTTACGGCCTTACACTGATTTACACTATGAATAAAACCCGTACAGTAAGCTATAAAACACTGGTATGATGAATTGTGAAAATCAACGACCTGATCTAAACTAAGATGTTTGCTCTTATGGTTTTTTTTTTTTAATTTATGGCGTATTTATTGTTGAGATAACTTCTCTTACTTGTGATAAATCATTCTCACACATTTAGGCTAGTTTGTGTATTCGTTTATTAATAAGACGCACACCACCTATTCTTGGTCCCCACTGCTTTCGATGTTAATGTTTTTCAATTTAAAGACATTTGAGAGCGGGATGTCAATATACTGTTATTTACATGGTTACCGGTACTTTGGATATACCAAAACAGGTACTACATATTTGAGAACGGGCAATATATGCCATCCTTTTTGAATTTCATTCATACATTTTTGTATGATTCAAAATTTTCAGTCAAGGCGTTGGTGGTTTTACATCTTACAAAGTCTACCCGAATTATTTGCTTTATACATATTTTATTTCCTACCATGTTAACTAAGTTGAACATATGATGTGTCCCGTGGTTGTCTAAATGTTAGTACTGTTTTTACACGCGTCAGTATGATTGTCGGGCTAAATTATGACAGTAAATGTTTGATTTCTTTGCCAGATTTATTTATTTATATTACTCCATGGTTTGTTCTTCAATTCAATTCAACAATATCTATCATACAGTTCTTACTAAAGTCAGGTTATTATCTTACTTTCAATTGATCAGTACAAATATTGCATACAGTGAAATAGAAACTCCGATATTGATAAACAAAACAACTCGTAAAATGCAGTTTACCCTTTCATCAAAATGCGTCCATGTTATTGCATGTTCCTCATTGTCTTCTTTTTCAGGATTTTTAAACACATTTTGTAAATAAAGAAGTGGTGTTAACACAATTTGCAGGAACAAGGGCGGTTTCTTGTTTTCCGATTTATTTTGAAAATAAATGCTAACAGCAACAATTAACGTCGAAAATCCACTGATTAAAATTTGCGAAGCAATAATTAATGTAAAATATGAAACTGTAAGTGAAGAAACGGGCATTGACTGTGCAACAAGTGTCAGAAAAACAATAACTGTTAAAAACTGTGCCATACAAAATCCTAATTTTTCTCCACATTCCGTCGGGATGATAACAGAGAGTGTGTTCAGAAACATAAGGATAATAAATGGAAAACCCGTGGTCAACAGGTGGTAAGAAGATCTCCTCTTCAATGTAATCAAATATTTAATTCCAGTATAAAATGTTGTGTTATCGAGATAATCCGTATAGTTATATGAAAATAATGTTAAGTTAGTAACTTTCCATTCTCCATTTTCTAGAAAATGACTTTCAGAAAAATCGATTCCAGGATTTCCAGGATTTAAAACAAAATCTTTACTATTGTGGTACCAGGATTCTATTCGTATGCTGCACACTTGAATGTCAAAGGGATATTTTGAAATATCCACAGAGCATGACGTCATCAATTCTGTTGACGGATACCACGTCATATGTCCATCTGATAATGCATTCACATATTCATTTTCCTCCAAACGACTAACGCGCATATCCTTGAGAGCATTTACGACAAAAACATCAGGTACCCACAGGTCTCTAACTTTGACTGTCATTTCTTTTACAGATTTATATTTCGTGTTGTCCCATTTGAATATAACATCCTGCCAACTAATAATCCAAAATACCGACATCGATAGAACTTGATGTTTCTCATCCAAACCACTGAGAGCCATAACATACAAAGTAGCGTTCACCACAAGAGACACATTACTAGCAGATTTCGGAACGGCATCAACATTGTACTTCTCCAGCATTTTTTGTTTAACTTCTCTCATGTCATCATAATATTCATATCCATTTAAAATTGTTAGAATTGAAAACAGCACAAATAATTTTAAACCTGACCCCATCTTTTTTTCAGGCAGTAAAATAGTACATAATGCCATCACTGCTGCTGAATATTGATCTGTTTCCAAACTGTAAAACACTAATATCCGTTTGATATGAACAACGCATAACATTCCATCAGTTTGTAACATATTAAGAAATTAATGATACATGCTTCTACTTATATTAACGGTTTATCTAAGTATCTACACAATACTTGCACAAATGATCTTACCTATCATGAGAAAAAACATCGAAATCATGTGTCACATCTTCAAACTTTTGTGCAGTTTTAAGAATACCATTATGTTACCTTCACTACGTCAAAGCCTCAGACAATAGCATACATATACAATCATATATACCATAAAAAAATATGACAGAATATACATATAATTAAATTTATTATGCAAAAATTATATCTTATAATAATGAAATTTGTCAAATGCAAATTTTTATTTTTAAGTCTCAATATTTGTTTTCAATAAAATTTGAGAAAATGAATGCCATGAATGCATTGGGCACAACAAGTAATTCTCGAATAACTTTCATCAAAAATTAAAATTAAAATCAATTGAATAGTCAATTATACCATTTTTTTTTCAAAAATGGACCCAAAAAGGTAAAAAAAAAAGTAAAAGCATATGATCAAATTTTCCTCAAGAAGTTGGTACCTTTCATTTTTTTCAAATTTGACCTTACATTAAGTCTTTTTAAAGTAGACTTGCATGACCTCAGTAACTATTTATTATTGTTATTGCATAAGTGATATAGAAATTCTTTGGTCGTCACAATAAATCGTTATCTTATTTTAATACATACTTTGAAAAATGCATTATGAAATTTTCAACTTGGGAATCTTTAAATAGTTAAAAGTGTAAATAAGTTTCAGTTCCAATTTGTATAGCTTTCCTGGCAGCACAGTAAAAAATGAATACACAAAAGATTATTTTCTGAGGTGCTTAAAGTTCTTTTCAAAGATAATACTTTCTCAATAGTTCGAGTGATAATACTTTTCGATGCACAGAGCAGACTTTTGAATGATATACTCAAAAATATTTCATTTACTCTTCTTAATAAATTGTGTTTGTGGATGTGTGTGTGTGCTTTATTTGACATTACATTCGTCAGTGTTCTCTGTTGACATGAGAATTAATTCAAATTGATTGTTTAGTGTATTATTTAACATCAATCGACAAACGTGGTATACTGTGGATTGAGGAAAAATTGTATTTTCGTGGATACTTGATTTCGTGGATTTTCCTTAGTCTGCGTACAAGCCTATAGAAAAAATGTACTTCGTTGAACATTTAAATTCGTGATTTACCTCTACCCACGTAATCATTGGTATCCAACGAATAATAATGAATCCACAGTACATATTATTGATAATGAAAGAGAATAATTTAACAATTTGTCATGAATCGATTGATTGAGTGCAAACATTTTGACTACCACCGTAAAACAAGGCTTTTATATCTAGAATAGTCACAAACCGTGGCTTTGCAAAAGATAATCGACATTGTATGTATTTATGCACCACTCAAAGACAAGCGAACTATCCTCGGGTAGCTGAAATTTCCAGATGGCCTTTTATATTGCCGACTATCCGGTATGGGTTTTTCTAATTATTGACGGCCGTACGGTTGCCTATAATTGCTTACATCCACTTCATTTGAACTTTGGTGGATAGTATACGTATCTATGATCCTCCTTTTTCAGAAACGCGAAGAGTTTGTGCTCATCGAAACTACTTCACAACACATTTGTTTTTAAAATGTAACACCTTGATACATAGGCTTTGTACCAAAATGTACACTGAAAAAATAAGAACCCAATACGACAATAATAAACCGATATCATTACCCATACAAATATAATGCTACATATAGGATTTCTTTTTATATATGTAGACCGACTCTAAACTTAATTTTGGACGTCATGTTAATACTGCCATTTTTATGTACTGAATGTTTCAAATAAATGTAAACCGTTCAATTCGGCATAAACTGCAAAGAAGAAGCACTCGCGGGAGTTACTGTAGAGCTAGGTATAGTAGATGTTGTAGTTTGAGGTGTCATAAATTTTGGAAACTTGACGCCTCTCTCCTCCAAAGAAATCTGGATCGGACTTTCCTTTTATTCTTTTGTTCCGCGGTTATCTTTCTGATACTTCTCGGAAAGACCTTCTAATGAAAAGACCTGGCAGCCAAGTCTAAAGCAAAAGGTATAATACCCCGGTAATGCTTATACTAAATTGCAATGTCAGGATAAATTGCCACCATTGCAAGTTGTCTCAAACCAAAACTGCCTACTGGATAATACTTATCTGTGTTTGTGTTAACAGATGTGGAAAAGCTTTGCTGGGCAATGTTACGCACGTATTCTCATCTGTGTTTTTTTTTTCAAGCGCCAAGTTTTGTTTCAGTTTCATAAGGTACTTGCTCACATTTTTGACAGTTGTAGATGCGTCGTAAAATTGCTTTTTCGCGACATCGGGCTTATCAAAATCATTTTAAACCTGTGACCCTTCGCGCATGCCAAGTTCACAATTCCGTTTTGTATGTCCTAGTCTCATGATCATATGACACTGTTCACACTGAGCTTTAGTTTTGCTAACCTTTAAATTCGGATTGGTGCTTTTGTTTTCTTCAAAGACTTGATGTTTTCCTTAGCACTATCAAATTCCACACTTTTACCGTGAACTTCGTCTTCAAGCTCATCCATTAACGACTGGTTTTGAGATCTGCAAACATTCTTCCGTAACTGACACTTACTGTCCGACTGAAGTGCTTCAACGGGATCTCTCCTGGATTCGAATAAGCATTTCGGTTCCATTACATCCCCTTTATCCATTGAAAACCTACTAAATTGGGGAGAGCATTCATCAGAATTTTTAATTTTATCCGTGTCATGTGCGTTCTCTTGGTCTCCTTTATGCATTTAAACGCTTCCTTTATGCAAGTGTCACTGATGGCAATTATCCAGTTGTCCTCAACAAGATATTGAATTCCAAATGTTTCCTTACTAAACTAGGAATCCGCTACTGAATGTCACTTTTTAATTCATCATATGTGCATAGTGTTTCTGAAATATTAATCTTCCCGATTTTCCCAGGCCCATACATTGTTAGAGTTTGTGTCGTGTCCAAGTTCTTTGTTTTGTATCTCTAGATCGTGCATCCAATTTTCGATTTAGTATATTTCCATATATTAGTTTATTTACACTTCATATATGTTTAATAAAATTGAGAATGGAAATGGGGAATGTGTCAAAGAGACAACAACCCGACCACAGAACAGACAACAGCAGAAGGCCACCAACAGGTCTTCAATGCAGCGAGAAATTCCCGCACCCGGAGGCGTCCTTCAGCTGGCCCCTAAACAAATATATATACTAGTTCAGTGATAATGAACGCCATACTAAACTCCAAATTGTACACAAGAAACTAAAATTAAAAATAATACAAGACTAACAAAGGCTAGAGGCTCCTGACTTGGGACAGGCGCAAAAATGCGGCGGGGTTAAACATGTTTATGAGATCTCAACCCTCCCCCTATACCTCTAGCCAATGTAGAAAAGTAAACGCATAACAATACGCACATTAAAATTCAGTTCAAGAGAAGTCCGAGTCTGATGTCAGAAGATGTAACCAAAGAAAATAAACAAAATGACAATAATACATAAATAACAACAGACTACTAGCAGTTAACTGACATGCCAGCTCCAGACTTCAATTAAACTGATTGAAAGATTATGTCTTCATCATATGAATATCAGGCATAATCCTTCCCGTTAGGGGTTTAGTATCATACCATCATAACATATATGAGAAGAACATAACCCGTGTCATGCCAACAACTGGTTTTTAAATAAATGTGTTTAGTGCAGATGCAAAGACCCTATAAGTGAATCAATATCAACGCCAAAATATGCAATCTTTAATGACCTGACAACAGTATCGTAATGTACTGTTATAGATCACAATCATCGTTGTATTATTACCCCCTTTTGAACGATACTACTGGATGAAGATTGTGGTTTTTTTTTTTTATTTCTTTAGCTATACACGTTCCGTATACTAAAGGTATATTGTTCTATTGGGAAAAAGAGGCAGGTATAATTGAAATAATAATTGTCAGGAAATAAAATAAAAATACATTAAAGTATAATCACAATGTCATAATTGTTAAAACACAATTTAAAAAAAGAGGCAGACGAAACCAAGGGATCAAATAATAAGCCTCAAGTCGAAGAAAAAAGAGACACCATTGGCGAGATATAAAATCTACAATTTATAAAAAAAACCCAAAGATTTAGCAATATTAACCCCATCAACAACCAGGGGTATCATCAAGTGCTTAAAAAAGGTAATCATATCTTGCTCACCTAATGATATCCGTCGTGTTGGCAAAAATCTGTTCATTAAATTTTTAAATGCTTGAAATCAGAGTATGTCTATTTATTTTTTTTTAAATGTTAAGACATTTGATGAGTCAGACAAAAATATATTAAAACATATCAACCACTCGAAGTTCATTGATAAAAAGTCATTCCTTTTACTGTTCACGGAAACAAATGTAAATAAAATTGTCAGATGTTTCTTTTTATTCCCGTAAAATCAGTCTGTTTGTCAGTTGGAAATTTCCCGCCCACCGAAAAATTTTAAGCGGATCGAATATGGCAGCAAAGAAAAATAGTTACGGTCGTGAATATTTAACAAGAAAGGATACCGAGTGAGACCTTAGAAGTTTAATTGTACAAGTAAAGAAGCTGGGGCAAACTTTAAAACTGGCGAAGTACTTAGAGGAATTTACGTCAAAATTGCCATCAAATTTATTATCAACAGACAATATCTACCAAATTTTTTGAAAAGTTCTGTCACAGAAGGCTTTATCTCAGAGAAGAGAAGGAACACATTTTGCTTGGCAAAAATAAATAAAAGAATCAGACATTAGATTAATCGAATCTATTAAGAAAGAAAATCCCTCAATTACAGCAAGGGAATTGAAGGACAAGTTGCTTCGTTTTTGCGAATGATAATATCTATATAGATGTGTCCACTATTTATCGCACCATGTCCAGAGATCTTTATTTTACATTTAAAAGCCGTCCGGCCGGAAA